ATATGTATTAGGGTGTGCCAAAATGTAACTCCCGTGGAGGACCTTTTAAAATTGGAATTTTGAGTTTCGCTTTTAAAAGCAGCTCTGTTGAGGTCTTTCCTAAGATATTTTGGATTGAGACGATAAATTTGATTTTCATAGAATTTTTTAGCAGGAGGTTTAGTTGGACACTTCCGGCCAAAATTTGAATTTTCAGCGGAAGTGCCCAAACTAAGCTCCGGTTAAAAAATTCTATGAAAATCAAATTTATCGTCTCAATCCAAAATATCTTAGGAAAGACCTCAACAGAGCTGCTTTTAAAAGCGCAACTCAAAATTCCAATTCTAAAAGGTCCTCCACGGGAGTTACATTTTGGCACACCCTGGTGTGTCATTGTCTACACGAAACGCCTTACCCACACAAATACTTTTTCTACATTTCCCCTTCTTCCAACTCTTTGACTACACAGTCAAAACACAAACGCACATAATATTCGTAGATCGCTCTACACAGAGCCGCTACATATATGTGGCACAAGCCAACGCTTGGGCTTCTTTATCGTTTGTTTGATTTGATCGTGCCTCTCTATCGTTTGTTGCGCGCTCTCGCTTGCACTTACAGGCTCAGGCGGAACGCTTAGGAGGAACATAAAAGCGGAACAGTCTGTCGGAACACGACATTTTTTCATGAGTGCTGTCGGTGTTAATCAATTTATAAGACATTATCACGTCAAAAAAGTTAGTTATTAAAAATATATTTACTATACATATTTTTTATATATTTCGACATATATTTTTTTTATATTTTTTTTTTTCATAGGGGTACATTTATTTTAAAAGTATTTTTTTGAACAAAATGTGATTCAAAATCTACTACATTAAAATCTGGGTTTGAAAAAATTTTTTTTCTGAATATTTTGTATATTATTAAATAATTCTGGAATAAGTGTTAATGCAATAATTTTTTTCTTAAATTGAAATTTAAATTAATAAAAATAGACTATAAATTTTTTCGTAGAAAAAAGTTTAAACAGTGTTGAAAATATATTGACAGACATATAAACTCAATAAATATATACATTAGGAATGAAATTAGAAGACAAAATTTCTATCTAGAACTCTCGTTAATAAGGTTATCGATAATTACTTGACAACGAGACTATTAAAATAATCAAATTTTGAAATTTTCACGACAAATATTCACTGTCATTTACTTCAAAAAGTCCAAAATAAATTTATAGCAGTCGTTTAACAAATGACGTTAATGCTTTAATTTCAGTTATATTATCCCTCTTCCATTTTGTGGAACTATATATTCTTCAGTCCAGTTTCATTTTTGATCAGTATTTTGAAGACAACAATGCAGTTCCCAGTAGTCATATTTTTGGTAAGTCACTAATTTACTGATTTTTTTCGTAGTGTTTTCCTGATTTTATCCAAACATATTTTTTTAAATATCATTTTGTATTTATTTTCTTTACCGTATTAAGCTTTACCATGTAAACTTACTTAAGAACTCTTTATTACCTCCCAATCTCACTATAATTGTAAATATAATCTTCTGTGTTAATAACTATAATTATACCTAAACCGAATCCTACACGGAAAAAAATTAACTGTTGCTGCAACAGGAGGCTGTCATGTTGCAGCAACAGGAAAAATTCCTGTTACAGCAACAGGATTACTACTGTTATTGCGGCTTAATAGTAAAATATAGTTGGGTCATTCCATGTCAAATTGACCTACAGTTGGAATTGACCCCTTTTGATTTGGATAAATTTTGATCAGAAATGAACTTCTGCCAGACGAAAAACAATTAAAAAATTTTATTCAAAAAATATGCAAATTCAAATTGTACTGATCTTAAAAGACCCTAAAATTTTCAGAACTGTGTTTTTTTTTTAAATATGAATTTTTAAATTAAAAAAAAATTTTTTTTCTTGCTTTTGCAACTTTTAAATAAGGTGAAGTTATGCAGATACATAGTATAGTAATTTTTAGCATTAAAAATTAAATACACCACTCGGAAATATTAAATAATAAATTAATTTCAATTTTTTTTTATTTTTTTGGAGTAATCTTAAAGTCAGGCTTAACACATGATGTAGTGATATAGTTTCTTATTTTTTTTAACGCATGATATATTTTGTCCATTTCTTCACATTAATAACAGTATTTAACGTCAAATAACTCAAACAAATTGTTTACTACAAATTTCTGTACATTACTGTTGCTCAATCTCAAATTTCAAATCATTTCCATCTTAAAAAGACGATAAATGGCGTCGGAAATTTTAAATGAAGTAAAAAAAACGACGAATAACAATTATATCATGCTTTAAGCCTGACTTTAAGATTACTTCAAAAAAAAAAAAAAGTTAAAATTATTTTATTATTTAATATTTCCGAGTCGTGTATTCAATTTTTTAATGCTAAAAATTACTATACTATGTATCTGCATAACTTTACCTTATTTAAAAGTTGCAAAAGCAAGAAAAAATTTTTTTCTGAAATTCAAAAATTCATATTTAAAAAAAACACACAGTTACTATATAAAAAAATTGAGCCAAAATTTTAATGTCAATCGAGATTTTTGATGATTTTCAAAAATTTAAAATTTACAAATTTGGCATTTTTCAAAATTTTTTTCCAAAATATTTTTTTTTTCAATAGCTCCAAGTGTCTCCTATCAAACAAACGAAAGGCCATTCCCGTATCTATAATAACGTTCGAGAAATTCCAAAAACAAAATTAAAAAACTGAAAAAATAGCGAAATTTTGAATTTGCATATCTTTTGAATAAAATTTTTTAATTGTTTTTCGTCTGGCAGAAGTTCATTCAATGATAAAAGAAAATTTCTGATCAAAATTTATCCAAATCAAAAGGGGTCAATTCCAACTGTAGGTCAATTTGACATGGAATGACCCAACTATATTTTACTATTAAGCCGCAATAACAGTAGTAATCCTGTTGCTGTAACAGGAATTTTTCCTGTTGCGGCAACAGTTAATTTTTGTCCGTGTATTGTACCGTGTATCAAGGAGAGACTCCTAAAAACCCACGTAAATGTTAATAAATAAATAAATAAATATCATTTTGCTACCGTTACTCTGTTCATTTTGTTGTCAAAAATGGTTGTAAAATTCTGAGAAGCTTTTCTCTAAATTTGTCATTAAAGTTATAATTTACAATTTTGTTTATTATTGTAACAATTAAAAAATCCTGGATATGGTTAACTCGGCAAGCTATCCCTGGAATTTTCTGTTGGAAAAATGTTTTTGAGAAAATTTACCTAACAAAATAATTAGTTGGTCGAAAATAATTTAGCTATTTCAACAACATTTGTTGAACCACCAACAAATTTGTTGTTATCCTGACATAACAATCTCGTTATTTCTAAAAAATTTCATTAATCACTGAGAATTAAAAAAATGAACTTTTTTTTCTCCAGATCTCTGTTCTCTTGCAATGCACCTCCGTAGCGATCGGCAAACCATCTGAAAAAGAGCATTCACCAAGTTTCTCACCCTCCAAGGGTCGAGAATACATGTTGGGCCTATCATCTTACCAGAAAGATCAAAACGTTCACATGAACCAGAGAGGTGATCAGGCGATTCAGCAAAGTCCATTTAAAGGGAATAACATTGTTCCAGTTCCGACAAAGAAGGAAGAATATTCAAGCCAGATACCAGATTCTCTAGTAATAATTGGACCCAACTCAAAAATCACTCCAGGTTCTGCGTCAGAACGCTTCGAAATTCCGTTCATTCGGAGTCCACCAAATGGGCATTTGGACATGCTTATTCGCTGGGCTGATTAGGGGAATCATAAACAGGCCTCTGATGACATTCCTTTAATAAATTAATTGAATAAATATAAATTTTTTAGCTAAATAATTGTATAGTAAATAGCAAAAAAAATGTTTTTCCTGGTGCTTAAACTATAATCGCTCTGATTGAATTTTTCAATATACAATATCTAAATACGCTGATAATGTGATTATTTTTATTATCAGTACTAATAATCGTTAAGAAAAAACATGAAATCATGGTAAACTTAATCGCTCGAAAATCAACAGATAAGCAGGTGTTGTTAGTATAAATTAATCACTTTTTAATGTTATTTTTCTACCATTAAGCACGTCGTGGCTGAGTATAACAAAGGACGTTATCTATGACATATTGGAAGTTTTAATGGCTGATTTGTTGCAGTATCAGTCAATATTGTGCCGACAACAATGACAGTCAAAATAATATTTCTGATAAGTTATTATTTATTTTAAATAATTTTGAATCATCTGATTTTTTGTTAGAATCTATATTCACTATTGTTATAATAACACAATTTAGATCTAAGAAGTAAACATTTAAAAATAAATAAAAAATTTTTAAAAATTTAATACTCAAAAAATTGTTTTTTATATTTTCGTAAAAAAATTATCATATATTTTAAAAATTGATCGTTATATTGTTAAATTATCTTAAGGGGGTATTCTAGTCTAGAAGCATAAATTTCAGGTAATTTTTTGAAGTGCTGTAAAAAAAAGGTAATCAATATTTTTATTATCCATTTTTTTATAAGTTATTTATCTATATATATAGGAGCTGTTCTAAATATAGATTGACTCATCACAATATCTCTGGAACTATAAGACCTAGAGACTTGAAATTTGGCAGGAATATTACTTTTACCATGTAGAGGTCAGCTAAGAACAGATTTTAAGAAATTCCTCCCCCAAAGGGGTTTGCGGGGGCGTTAACAATGAAAAATTCCCGTTTTTAAACTATAGCTCCCATCGACTTCAAATTCAACCTAACTAATTTTGAATTAGCACGTATGTAATAATGTGAAAAAATAAAATTCTTTGAATAAATTCGAGAGAAATAATTTTGACGATTTTTTTTAATTAAAAAAAAAATCTTACCTAAAGTCAATCAGCGAGGAACCGTACAAAATCCCTTCAGCCTTTTCAAAAATTTGATTTTCTTCCACTCGAACATCCACATAAACATCGCTAAATAATATAGTTAGTAGTCCGATTACTTCAAAATTTTGACATCATACTTTTAGATACATGTACTTTCGAAAATTTTTTTTTTGAAAATTACAAACCAGAATGATCCCTTGAAAATAATTTGTTGGACTAAATGTAATCTATATTATTAATAGAATAAGAAAAATTTTGTCTCCAGGATAGTCATATAATGAAATCGGTTTTTTTAGTGACATTTAGTGTCATTGCATTGGTCTTGACTTGAATTTCTGCCTTTTCAAGGTTTTCATATCATTCTCACCGATAGTCAATTTGTGATACTAAGTATTTAGGCTGCATTCGAAAATGCTTTATATCTCTAGATACATAATGAAGAAATGACCTTGTATCTTGTAAGCTATTGACATTTTTAAAGATATAAGCTCATCCCGATGTTACACTCATCGAGACCTTTCATTTGAGTACCCACATCAATTTTTCATATATTTATATATATTATACATATGAATGTATGAAAAATATATCAAAAATGCATGTGGGTACTCAAATATGAAAGCTCTTGATCAACAGACTCGATAGAATCTGGCGTCAAGTTCCGTTCTCAAGCCAGACTACCGAGTGTGTATATACCGTAAGCAGAACGGTTTTTTGAGGTTACAAATTTTTTTTTCAAATTTATTTTGATTTTTTTTTTTTATCTGATATTTTATAATAGTAGTTCATGCTTTTTATTACGCGTATTAATTGATTATTATCAATTATCTTTATAGTTTCTATTTAAAATTATTAAAAATAATCAGCACAAACTATAGCGACCCAGATTTTTAGATTTTAACTTTTTTCTTATGTAAAAAGCGGACGGCCAGAGACTAAATAATATAAGGATGCATGCTAATCTTATAATAGATGGGAAACTACAGTGAAAAAAAGATATTTGACAGCTTGCAATTACACACGCCAGGCGGCGCAAGAATAACTTTCACATGAACTATAGCTTAAAGGGGATAGTTTGCCACCGGAAATGTATTAAATTAAAATTGTTAATTTTTAATTATAATTACAAAAAATACTGAAATCCGAAAAAAAACAGTTTCACTGTAAAAAAAATCGCGCCAAGTCCACGTTCATAAGACTATCAAGAAAAAAAATTTTTATTTCTTTACAAAAACATATAAAATAAAAAATTGAAAAATCCAAGTAACCGATATGGTTGTATATGATTTTCGGAAATTAAAAAAAAATTTTTTGTAAATTTAAAAATCAAAAGAAATAATTTTGGAACGTACTTGGTGTGCGTCATTGTGCACTTCATTTTTTTTTTAAAGTCCTAGTAGATAGATTTTAGAAATTTCATAAAAAGTGAAATATTTCGTAACCACGCACACTAAATACGTTCCAAAATTATTTCTTTTAATTTTTAAATTTACAAAAAAATTTTTTTTAATTTCCGAAAATCATATACAACCATACTTATTATTTGTTTTGTAATATATGATTGTAATTTTACAAAAATTTTTATCAGTGTTGGGATGAGCTTATATCTTTGAAAACATCAATAGTTAAGAAAGTACAGTGCAATTTAACAAAAATCATTATTTAATAAAGCAAAATTTTAATTATTTATAATTTACAAGTCACGGCAGTCACATAGTGACTGTAAGGTTGTTAGTAAGTTTATTAATTAAAGAACTAATAAGCACTAATAACTTTTCCAAAAAATGTGCAAAAACTCTGAATTAAACGCTTATAGAATAATGACCAAAGGACGTTAATTGACTTGATTGGTTGTCGACCTAAAGTGACCCAAGTTAAAAATGTAAATATAAATGTCAACAATTTAATAATCGCTGGAATATAAATTGACAGCAAGTAGGCCAGTTATTAATTTTATCCAAACACTTTACATTTAGTCATTTTATTGTCTAGTAGTCAAGTGTTAACGAGTCTCAATAACAGCCACACGACCCTTTAACAAATATATTCATACATCTACGTATCAATTACACTTCCGTTATTATATTTATCGATAAATTGATGATCTCATGCTTCATTGAGTCTGCTGTAAGATCAGCGGCTTCTAAAACGTCACATTTATTTATAACTTTCTATCAATCGGACTAATTTGTCGGTAAATATAAATTAAGAAAGTAATTACCGCGGAAATATTGAAAAATAGTTTCATTGCCGAGGAACTTAGGCTATGAGTTTTGTCAAGTTTTCCGTTGAATAAACCAGAGATTGCCAAAGAAGTAGTCGAGACTAATATACCAAGTTTTCGCATCATCCAACAATTTTATACTTCCGTCTTGTACGTCTCAATCTCGGCTCTTATAGTTGGCTTATATCTTAGAGCACTTGCCGGCTCTTTCTTCACTTATTAAGCTCCCGGCGAGTCCTTCGTAATTTTTACCCTTTTCAAACTTTCGGTTCTCATAAATTTTCGTGGGTGATTTTTAATTAAAAATTAATTCATTTTCATCCATTGAAGTTTGATATCCTTCGATAGTTTCGGACTAGCAGCCTGCAGTTGGAACAACGTAAAAGACATGTGGTTGCAAATAAATATAGATTATGTGGACATGGATACTTACCGATCGGATTGAGAAAATCGATAAAAATTTTGCTATCGGTAGATCACGAACTATTGACTATAAAGACCGAGAAGGCTTTTATTTGTCGGTAATGTGGTACTAAAGGTGTTACTTATTGCATCTGTGCTCTGTTGGGCGAATATGCCTGTGAAATTCATGATTGGTGGGTATAATTCCACGGAATATTGCGATATCCCGGAACTGGGAAGAAATCGGATTTTTATGTTATAGAAGATAGCGATTTATTGTTAACGTTTATCTATTTTCAACATACAAATGTTGGAAATTGATAAACGTTTTAGAAATAGTAAAGTAATAAAAATAATAATTTTTACAGAAATAAACGGCAATTTAGTCTTATAAAAAAAAAAAAATTAACCTTTTTGAAATTTTATCATACATTGATAGAAGGATTTAGTTTAATTTAATGAGATTTAGCAATAGTTACCAAATGATTTAGTAACAAACCTTTCATCACCAAATATTAACTAATAATTACTAAATCGATTATTAAAGCCCATTTATTTCCACCAAATAAATATTTAGTAGTATTTTACAAGTCCGAACAAAAACAGTTTCACTGTAAAAAAATCGCGCCAAGTCCACGTTGATAAGACTATTAAGAAAAAAAAATTTTATTTCTTTACAAAAAGATATAAAATAAAAAATTAAAAAATCCAAGTAACCGATCCCGTGTAAAAAAAAAATCGTCTTAAAATTGTCTTAAAATTATCGTTCGTTTAAGATCTTAAACGTGATACAAACTAAGACTATTTTAAGACTCTTTTAAGACACCAAAAGAAAAATTCCGAGAGCAGATTTTTGAAAATTTTATTCTCGAATTTGTTGTGAAAATTAATTTTTAGACGATTTTACGACTTTCTAACCGCAATATTTTTGAGTAAAATGTTTTTAAATTGAATTTAAAATTGTTAAAAAATTATTATCTGACAATTTTAAGACTTTTTTAAGACGTTCCCGTTTTAATGTTCCGGGGCTCTGTCACTGTTAGCCCATCTTAAAATAGTCTAAATTTTTTATTAAGATTTTTTTAAGACTAATTTAAAATAATTTTGAGACAATTTAAAGACGCTCCATAATAACTTTCCGGAGCTGTCACTGTGATGTCATCTGAAAATAGCCTAAAAATTTTTTAACATTTTTTTTTCAGATTTCTTTAAGACTATTATAAGATTTTTCAAGACTATTTAAAAATTATTTTAAAACAACCTATAT